ATTTGACAGAGATCTACGATGTGTGATGGCAGAAATTCGCTAGGTGGAACGTAAGTGAATGTTCACCGATGCAAAAAATGCTTTTGGGAATAGCCAGTTATCTTGGCACATATTGCCAGGTAAGTACTGTGAAGAATAGTTGATATATATATATATATATATATATTCATTAAAACGTCAACAGTAGTTATTCTTTTTCCAAAATGGTGGAGGTCAATGAAATGAGTTTCCTCAGATGAAAGGTGCCGCTTTCTTCTGATTGTTTATTATTCTGTGACTCTGTCTTTCTCTCTCTCTATGTTAATGGCTTTTGCCTCCATTGAGCCAACCCTCAGAGTAACAAAAGAGCCAACCACAAACTAAAGTGGTTTGTCCGACCAAGCGTCTTGATTTGAATCAGGTTGGAGTCCAGCTCCCTTACCCTTTTAGCTGATTAAAGTGGTTTGTGGAGCCAACCCTACTTTATATGCTTGTTGACTTCAGTCACAGAACAGTAAACGTAGTTGTTAGTTGTTTACTATTCTGTATTCTGTGCTTTAACTTTAGTCGTTCGTTGGTTGTTGTGTTGAATTATTAAATCTGTGGTTATGCTGTGACCAAAATTCCCTACAAAGAATATATTTTATGATGTGTACCAATAAATATAAAAAATGTCAAGTAGACCGAATCTTATCATCAGTTCCTGACTATATTCAAAAAATTCAGTGCGATACCAATGAAAGGTTAGAACAACATTGTATAAAAATATTTCAAAAGTCATTTCATTAGTTCGGACTTCTATTGTCTAATTTGATATAAAATGATTTGAGACCCCTGAATCAATAAAATCAAAAAGATTTGATGAAAAAATAACAATTATACTAAGCGAAAAAAACTGAAATTGTAAATTATTATTATATAATTGTGTATTTTTCAGGTAATCTTTTTGATTTCATTGATTCTCTTAGGGATTTCAAATCATTTTATATCATATTAGACAATGGAAGTCTGAACTAATGAAATGCAATGTGAAACATTGTCAACCACCTTCAAACATTTCAAAAGTAAGTTGTATTTTCCCAGGCATTTTCAAATATTCCGTTGTCAATATATTGTGTATTGAGACTTTTTATGTTAGAGGTACAGCTTTTCCAGTTTCTCTTTGATTTCTCAGAAAATTTTGCCAAGGTACACTAAAAACCATCTTTTTTTAACAAATTTAAGGCACAGTACACCTGCAATACAATGAAATTAGTTCTCTTTTCATTGAATGGCATTGCGTCAAAAGGTTTGTACTCGTCTTCCTTTTTTTACTCTCTATTCATGGTCTACAATGTGTAAAATTTTGATTCGAGTCTATAGTTTTATCTAACTATGAATGATTCTCTAGTTATTTCTAATCAGAAACAATTTTAATAATTCATATAAAACTAACCAGTCCATACTCACCTACCATGAATAATCAATTCAGATATGAAGAACATTATCAAGAAAATTTCAATTGAATCATCTAGTTTAATTTGTTTCAAAATGTTTCAATCTGACTCAGTTTATATATTTTTGCAGGACATTGCCGTTCAAATGTGCTGTGAGATCTTGTCCAAATTTTTTTCTCAGTTATGAAGAACGTAATAAGTACCCATTCAAATTTCATAATTTTCCCACCGACAAAGCTCTTCGTGAAGTCTGGAAAGAAAAATGTGGCTGGAAAGAAAATTCAAACATAACTTGTCGACTCAAAGTTTGTTCAGATCATTTTGAATTAAATGATTACATTAGAAATTACAAGGAGGAATTCAGCAATCCCAATTTCAAGAGACAGTTGAAGAGGAATGCAATACCAACCAAGAATATCAATAAAGAATATTTTGAAGATGACGTGGTAGAAGCCTTCTGTAGTATTCCCTGCAGTCATGTTAACCATGATACTGAGGATTATTTAGATACACAGTTGAACAGTGGTGTAGTACTCAAAAAGAATATGAAAATCATTCAATCCGATAAAGAATCTCTTGAGAAAACCTGTTGTATTAAAACAATGCAATCCAGCTATTCAAATGAATGTATCAAAGAACCAGGATTTTTGGAAGAAGTTAAGATGGCAGTAGATCATAATGAAATCTTGAACAAAAATATGTCAGAACTACTTCTCATAGAGAAAGAGATTAAACAAAAACTGAAAAAGTGTGAGAGAAAGATCAAGTTTGTTAATAAAAAACTCAGATCAGGAAAAATCGATAAAGATATAATTCACAAAGTTTTTTCAGATGCACAGATAAATGTTTTACAGGGCAAAAAGAAAGTTTATTGGAGTAATGATGACTTGGCTGAAGCTTTTATTTTACGGCAGATTGGTACGAAACAATGTTATTTATATTTGAAAAATACCTTGAATATCCCTCTTCCCTCATTATCATGTATTCAAAGATGGGCAGCTTCTAGTCATGTTTCATAATATGTAAGGATAATTTATGTCTCCAATAAAATTGTATTTTTACTAAGTGAAAATATCCTTCATTTTTTATATTATCAAAAAAAAATTCAAAACTAAATTAGGCTAAAGTCATACTGTGTATCCATGACAAATTGAATTATAATTCTCATTGAAAGAAAATCTGTTAGAAAATATTCGTTAATCTTTTTTACAAGCACTCACAGGCATAAAAAATAAGCTTGTGACCTCAAACAGCTGTGTCAGTATTGCATAACAAATGTTGGAATTGCTATAAAAGTGAACTGGTTTTGTCAAGTTGGTAATAGTTTCTGAATAAGTATCATGATTGTTTATACTTGGACCAGAGTTGTGACACACATTACCAAAAAGGACTTGAAATACAATATGTAATTTTTTTTGTGTAATTCAATGTTTATATCAAAGTAGCTGTTTCAGGAGGACTTTCTTTCAGTTTGTGTCTGAAAGTTACTTCTTTGCATGATCTACACATCCATGTATAGAGTTACTCATTTTCAAATTGATTACTTCCTTTCTTTGAAAGATTCCCTCATCCTTATTTTGTATCAAGATGGAGTAGTAGAAAGCCAAAAACTTCCTTTCCCAAAAATTAATCACTCCTAAAAATATAACCCCTTCAATTCCAATATTTAAAACTTTGAGTACACTAAGTACTTTCATAAAATAAATTCTGATAATTGAATTACTTCATGTACGTCCATGTGTAGAATACTTACTGTGAATGGAAATATTTTTAAGTACAGTTGAAATGAGACTACTGGGCTCTGCAGAAGGCTCACTGTTCCTAGTCCGGAAAATTCATCAATCAGTGAAACATTTGATAACAGTGGTGAGATAATGGTACTGAAGAAAGACAGTAAGTATTGTTTGAAGACTTGGTAGTAGCACAGATAATAGTAAATCCAAGAGCAACCAACTCCAGCGAGATAGTGGCTCTGCAGATATTTTAGACAAAACCAAGAACTCTGAAAAGTAAAATGAATCTAAGAACTGGACAGACAAGGTGAAACATTAGCAGGAATAGTTACACTTTATATAAAATTAAGATAGGTTTCAGTGATGTAATATAAATCACTGAAGAGTTCAATTAGTACGTAACTTGTCATATTCATAAATTCTTCCTATGATTAGGCAGATGGCAGAAGGTTATATACCTACCCAAAAATAACAGTAAGAACTTTTGATATTTCATCATATCCAGTACTGCCAAAATGAGTTCCTTAATGATTGATATATTATTTTTGAATTCAATATTTGGTAGATCTTTCAATAAATTGGGGGATACACTAAGAAAGTAATTGTTGAAATTGTTACTGACTGTAATTTTGTTTGTTCCCTTGATTTCTTCATAATTTGCCACAGACATTTTCATTTATTATTGTTATTTTCAATGCGGTTTCAATACTGTAACTTTGGTACGTGATTCTAACATTTTATTATAATTGTGTTTGGCCCAAATGTGGTTTTTCTTAAAGATTTCATCTGTCCTTAGGGGCGTAGACAGGATTGTATAAAGGGGGGGTGCAGAGAAAAAAAAGTAGATTATATTTTTTTGTTCATTGTTTTTCGCATGAGCAGTGAATGTAGTGATTTAAAAAAAACGTTTGCCTTTCGGGACGCCCGACACAAGTGATGACTCAAAGTAATCTAAGTTGAACTATTTAATTTTGAAATTGTTCAACTTGAGAAAAGAGCGTGATTGAATTATAAAAATAATAAAAGTTGATGAGAATATTGAAAGCCCAAAAGTGATGAATGAAAAATCAGATTTAAAAAAAACATGGCGGAGGAGTATACAGAGTGCTTCAAAATACATCATTCAAGTAAAAAAATAAACTGTCAATGTGTTTACAAGGTTTGACAGAATACATCATTTAAGAAAAAACATCTAGGTTTAACGTGTCAACGTGCGATCCCTCAATGTGTACAGGGTGCATCAAAATATATCAAGAGAAAAACATGGCGTCAATGTGTACAAGGTGTGGCAAAATACATCATTTAAAAAACACGACCGTTTAACGGGGCTCTAATGAGAAACGTATACAGTGTGTGACTTTCATAGGTGTTTTTGCTAGCCAAGTTGACATCATCAGGAGATGAAGGCAAAAACATAGATGACGCGTGCAACATGAAGGGTTAGGAATACTAAATAGATGAGATGTTGATGACTAGGAGGGTCTGACGTTTTAACATGCGATCCAACATGTCAGAAGGACACTGAGCCGCATCTTCGTTAACCAAGTTAGCATCATCAGGAGGAGTTGACCAATAAGACCAGAAAAATTCTATAGGGTGCCTCAAAATACATCCTTTAAGAAAACGAGGATCTAGCGTTTCAACGTTCGTCCCCTTCATCTAATGAGGAACGTCTATAGTGTGGCAGGACAAAACAAGCACTACAGGAAAATCCTCAAGGCGCTCTCAGAGCGGTGCCTGTGCTAAAGTAGCGATTCACGTTGGATTTGAATCGCTGGAGATTAAATCCATTTGGAAAAATATTCTCGGGAAGTTTATTCCACCTAAACGCAGTTTTCCAGTTGAAAGAGTTATCAAAATGTGAAGTTCGAGGTGTACTGAGTTGAACTTCAAAACGATGAGTAGCCACAGTCCATTGCGTATTTCTGATATTTATCGCTCTTGGTGGAATCAAATGTACCAAGTCACTTGAACACTTGCCGTGAAAGTATCTATAGAAGAGAGAAAAATCTCCAACCTTTCTCATCATATTTGGTTCGGAGAAAAAAGAAAAGAAAATATGGCGGCCGACAAAAGTGTTGGTTTAGATGGGTCGAAAAAATGTTGCAATTATTGTAAAAAATACATCAATTCGGGGTTATGCGGTATCACCTGTGATTCTACCTACCACAGCAGTTGTGCAAAACGAGTTAAAGTATGTTGTGATGTGTTTCCTAACATAATATACCAGGCAGCAGATCAAAATACAGAGGTTTTATCTGAAGTGGATTACTTAAAAGAGGAGAACAAGCTCCTAAGGCAGATACTTTTGGACAAGGACACAATTATCAGTGATAAAGAAACTCTCATAACACTTCTCAAAGAAAAAATAACTTTGTTAGAAAGCAATTCACTTCGTTTATTGGTAAATCCATTATCTGACAAGGCATCTCTTGAAATTAACTCATTTAATTCCACTGGTGCGACAAAAAAAGCTGAAAATAAAAACTTATCTCAGCAAACAAACAAAAGTAGCAAAAAGACATCAAAAGAAAGCAACTGGGCGGACACAGTTGTCTCTATGGAAATACAGGATATCCCAAGCAAGACAGAAAACAAAGAATTTCAGCTGCTGCAAGAAAAAACATTAGTGAAGTGCAGTGAAATTATTCACTTGAATGACGATCTTGAAGTTAACCATGACAGCAACCCCAATGATAACAATTGGAAATTGGTCACCATTTCCTCCTAAATCGTATGGCACAGGGCAATCAAACAACCTACTCCCAGTTGCACCAAAAAGAAATTGGATTTGGATTGGTGGTCTTGATCAGTGCACCACCCCTGAAAATGTTAAACGATATATGAGGGAAGCGTTTCCAGATGAAAGCATTGACTGTTTTAACCTGAAATCTAAATACAAAAAGAAGTGCTTCAAAATAGGAAGTTTCGATTTACCTTTGGACGAACTTCTGAATCCTGATAACTGGCCCTCTAATTTATCTATACGTCCCTTTCACGATCAGTGATCAACAATATGCTACATATATTGCATCCGAAATCTCTGCTGATGGTAACTCAGGGTTTTTATCCAATGAAAAACAAAGTAATAACTATTCATTAAAAATACTTCAATTGAATGCACAGTCAGTGACTAATAAAATTAACAAATTGGAAGTTCTCGCATCAG